CCCCCCCCCCCCCCCCCCCCCCCGATTGGGTGAATCTGGTATGGATAAACCTAACCAACAAAAACAGGTTACATACAGCATTTGGAAGGGGTAGTGATATTGCACCAAAAGAGAAGGTTGACAATTGACAGTTGCATAGACTACATTCAGGGGCAAGTTAAAATCTTTTGGTAATTATAAACTTAGAAAAGAATAGCTTTGAATTTTGTTTTGGTTGTTGTGACTTGGTGTATGGGTGATGAAATGAAGAACTTTCGGTTCCAAAAATAAAAAGATTTGATATTTTCAATCTAGTTAATTGGTCACATAATTTAATTTCATACCATTAAATTGGACAAAGGGCCGTGCTACAAACCCACCACGAGTCCCCCAGCCCTCCCCAGTACATGCCAGGACACTAGGATAAGAAGAGCTAAATTGAGCTATAATTTCAGTAGGGCGAGAATTTTATCACTGGGAAGAGAACATTTTTCTTTTCCTTTCATTCCCAATTCCTTGAACCAAACATAGTGTTCAAGATCACCCAATGCAAATGCTCAAGGGTTTGTTTGGTAAGTGCCATTTGACACATTATACCAATTTTTAAAAATGTGTGAAGTGTTTGGTTGCATCCATTTCAGAAAATCAGTCAACTGTGTTAGTAAAAAAACTTCTTATTATATGTCAATGTAAGTGAAAATAAGATGAACTCAACAATCAAATATTGCAACCAAGAGGGTTTTTAGGCATACCTCGATACCATTCACTTGCTTTGCATTCTTAAAAGTCACAAACATGCATTTCTCCTCTTGCCTAACAAAATACCCTGCATAAACCAAAAATCCTTTTTTTCCCTGATCGAGTAAACCAATAGAAATAGAACCGTAATCAAATGGCGCGACGAAGTCCTTTGGGCTTCTTCACAAAACTAAGCCGGATTTTCTTAAGAGTTCTCCTCTTCCTTGCCATTTTCTCAGGCAGAGTCTCCCTTTTCTTCTCCTTCTTCACAGCATCAGGCTTCTTCTTCGCGAACCTAGGGTCCACATTATATGCCTTTGGCTCAACTAAAAACCCATTGTTCGACGCTTCTTTTGAAAGGGTATTTGCCCTCTCCATGCGGCCATGGGCAACCAACCTTCCCATAAGTAACTCGTAGGTCTTGATCCCCGGTTTGCAACCATCGTGTTTCATCTGATAAAAAAATGCCATGGCATGATCAATCCTCTCAATGCCGCATAGTATTTTCAGAAACCCATAGTATTCTTTCTTGCCAAGTGCATCTCCATAGCCTGCAGACTTCATCCTATCTATCATTTCGTCCCCCTCTCCAACTCTCGCAGCTTGAAACAAGCTCGTAATGAGTGTGAGAAATGTCGCCTCATTTGGAAAGCATCCCCATTCACCCATCTTATAGAACAAATCCATCGCAGCTTGAGTTTGTCTGATCTTGCACAAATTAGAAATCAACACAGTGAAGGTTTCCACGTCTCGCGGAACGCCCTTCTCTTCCATTTCCAGCAACAACTTATCCACCTCAGAATCAAGCCGAAAAGGGTCCTTTTTCCTACAAAGCTTACAAACGCAATCAAGAATCGCATTATAGCCAGATGTCCCAATCTCAAATCCTCCCCTATACATTTCCCCAGCTAATCTATGGGCCTCATCAAGCTTTTCATCAACACACCACCCCTTAATTAGCATGTCACAAACATATTGATCAGGGAAGAACTCATCAGCTAAACTTTTCACCATTTTCTCAGCATAACTAGCAAAGCCATGTTCACAGAGCTTTGTCACTATCAATTTCAGGGAATCCAAGTTCCTAACGAACCCGTATTCCTTCTCCATTTTCTCAAAGAAAGCCACTGTGTGTGTGGGCCTCCCGGCCCGGACCAGTCTATCAACCATGGATTCTAGGGTTTTAGTGCCAACAACCCCACGGCCGGAGATAAGCACATCATGGGAAGCCTTGAAATCCTTCTTCCTACCCAGGTAATCCACGAAGTAAGAGTAAACCTCGTCGTCTACCTCAAAATTAGGTTTTGATTTGATCCAATCGATAAACCCAAGAACTGCCCGGCCAGCATCAGGGCAGAGATTGAGAGTGGAGAGGATCAGCGGACGTGAGAGAGTGATGTGTGAGAAGGAAAGATCCAATCTTTTCTCAACAGGAAGACTCTTTACCTTCCGATCTCGGAGAAGCTCGGCAGAGATAAGCCGCGCCGTTGCTTCGTCGCCGGTGGCGGTAGCAACACCAGATCCGGAACAAAATGACCTGAAAAATGAAGAAGGCAAATAAAACGGACGGCTATCTTGGAAAGCGGCGGCGAGGAAAGAGCCAATGCGAGGCGGCGGCGGCGGCGATGCAGAGATACGGCGCCGGAAGATGTGGAGAGCTGTAGACCAAAGCATTTTCTTGCGAGGGAGAAGGGAGGCTGAGGGTTACGATTTTCTATGCGTCCTAAATTGGGTTTTCCTTCTTTTTTCATTCAAGATCGATCGTAGAAAATGAAATTCCATACATGATTTGTACTGGAGTAGAAAAAAAGAAGACAAATGTTAGTGATGAACTAGTGTGGGGGGAGATAGATGGATGTTTTCTAGGGTATTGTAATTGCAGAAAGAATTGAATTGGGCCTCATTTGTTGACAGGCCTAATACTATTCTTGAGAAGAATTGAGTTGGGCTCACTCTACAGTCCATACTTTTGAAACAAGAAGAAAGAGAATCTCTAGGTCCATCCAGCCACACTCCCTCTACACACCTTGTATATTCATTTAATCATTTTGGTCATATTCTTTTCAATTTATTTTTATAACTTATACTACCTCCGTCCCATTGTCTTTATCCACTTTTGACTTTTGAAAATGTTCATCTAAGCACTTTGACTCATCAAATTCTCTTAATGTGTAAGCCTAAAAATAGTCATGTGTGATCTTGTTTGATTCGTCTTAACATATAGATTATTAATATATAATTTGTATAATTTTTTAATATACAAATTACAAGATAAAATGGATTAAAGAAGTGCATTGGATGGTGTGCCAAAAGGTAAGTGGACAAAGACAGTGGGACGGAGGGAGTACCTTTTTTCTTATTGGAATCCGATAGAATCATATCAGAAACATATTTAAATATAAAAACATCTAGATCAGATCAAATCAAATCAGAATTTATTCCAATCAGATCAGACAAAGAGAACTTGACTTTTGTTTAGGATCATGACGTGTGTACACTACATTTGTATATCATTTTGTACTTCAAAGCTTTGCAGTGGTACAAAATTCAAATTAAATGCAATATTGGCGTAATGTTAGTTTTGCACTACCATTTTATACAAGTGCAACGTTTTTGGGTACACAATGTATACAAATGAAGTGTACAAGAAGCATTATTGTTTCTTTTATAGAGTTTCAAGTTCCATAAATGGCTACCAAACATATATTGTACTCTCTCTAATTTAAAACAATTTTTATTTTAACTTTTAGCAGATTTTTTTTACTTTCTAATTTTACGCTTAGTGTCAAAGAGTAAAGAAAGACAAATTAATGCTTGCAAAATAGATAAGTATACAATGACTTTATTTGAATATATTACTTATTTTATTCAAAGTAGAAGTGGCTTAATAAAAAAGTAAAAAAATGAAAGACTAAGCATTTTAAAAAACGGAGGGAACGTATGTCAACAGTACATCCATGATATATAAGAAATAAATTCTCCATTTGAGACGTATTGTAAGAAATAAAGACTGTCTTTTTCCGATTTCATTTTCATACAGATATTCTGAAGGCTATATCATTTATCGAACAAGTTTTATGCACTTATTTTGAGTTGTCACGGAGGACATTATTCCTCTACGATGCTCTAGTTGCAAAATAGATATTTCCTACACCCACTTCCCCCCCCCCCATCCCCACCACCCCCAGTCCCGCCTCAATTCGTCTCCCCTCCAACATCAATTGTAGGTGCAAGCTTAGCTGACTATGAGATCAATAATTTTGTTTCTAAAGTTAACTAAACTTGTATCTCACACTT